ATAAAAAGGAGATTTTTTTTTTCCGATTTTTCCAAACTCCTCTTGCCGCTGTTATAAAGCGCGACGAAAGAACAGTCCCGCCCCGCGTTTTTCCCGAGACTCGCCGAGGTGCACTCCCGCTTGCAAGAGAATAATTTAAAAGAAGCGCGATCGAATTGCCAAGAGAGCAGCGGCGCGTGACTAACGGGCGAAGACGCGTGCAGATTCTCTTTTGTTTCAATGACACGTGACCGTGCCTACGTGTGTGCGAATGCAAAAACGTTTAACCTTCAAAGGTCTCCAATGTACAAAAAGAGAAAGAGAAAAAAAAAATCTTCCGAGATTCTGGGAGATTCCTTACCGGGCTGCCCTTGAAACGTCGCGGGATGGCAGCAAACAATAAATGCAGTGGCTTAAATGTCAAGCGCCGTGCTATAAAAAGAAGAATGCGCTTCTTGCCTGCGAACTACACGGCGAGACGAATTCTTGCAGATAACGACTTACGAAATAGAAGCTAAAATCCCTTAATAATTTACACAGAACACCCTACGCACATTTCCGGGAAGCTGCACTCCGCCCCGTGCGTGCAATCGTCGCAATTACTCGGAAAAGAGACGACGACAGGCAGTGAAGTTTGCTCTGACGTCGACGGCTAATGGCAGGGTCCGGCGCTCAGTCTGGAACGGGTACTCTTCTCTTATTCAGTGGTCTTCCTTCACGAACGGATGATGCACAAGTATATTCTTAAATGTTGTAGAGAGGTCAATAAATGAAGGAATTACTGAGATAGAGAAAAAGCGTCACTAAAAAAAAAATCAGCACCGGAGAAAAAATAATAAGCGACTGCGCTGAAATTAGAAGAGTATCGGACGCCCTGCTTGCATTCATATTTCACAACTGCCATTCTATTCTCGCTTCTCCTCCCGCGCCTGTCCCCGTGCCATCCCGAAGCGAAATCAACACCGCAGCTGAGGCCCTCACACCCAGATTCTGAAGAGGAGAATTCTTGCCAGCGACATCAAACAGCTGGAATCACGTCGACGGGCGGCGCAAAACAACCAGGGACCCGTAATGAGAGAAGTGATGCGCGGCTTCCGCAACGCCGCCCGTCCCGTCGTTTACGGTGGGACATTCTGCTCTTCCCAAGGACGCGGTCGGCCTCGGCGTCAATATTAAAAAACTTTTCTGAAATCTTTGCAACGACGCTGACACCAAGTTCGCATCCGCCGGTAAATTCAATACGCGATCGCATTAATAATTTAAATTGGACAAATATTCGAACATTATTTGGAGACCTCTCTATGCGATGCGCTAACGATTGTGTATAATTGTTAGAGATTTTGTTTGTGTGTTTACAATCTATGCTTATAAAAGCGTGCGCGTCCCCATGGGTATTACCAAACGTCTTGTAGGCGTGGCTGGCACACTGCCCTCCCACCCCTCGTGCACGGACTATCACCTCACGTTCTTGCTGGTCATGTTCACCATCACACTTGTTCCTCGCCTTTCCATCTCTTGCCTCACAGCCTTTCGGCATCTTGCATTCGCTCGCTATCCCTCCTACCCCCCCCCCCATTCCCGCGTCAGGTAGAGCCAATAAAAGATGAGACATTCAACTTCATGTATATGCAATAATCGCCAATCCTCCATCGCAGGTTCTATATCAACTTCACCCAATCACGTTTAAACTCTATATTTTTAAAACTATCTTTCGCCTTTTTTTCCATTTTCAAATTATTATATAACTCCTTATTCCTTTTAATTTAATAACCTTTCTTCGTCGATTCTTTTCCCTTGTTACTTCCTTCCTCATACGGCCATCATCCCTTCTACATTCTCTTCGCTACTTACCCTTCCGTCCCTTTCAAAATGCCCCCCACCCTTCGACTCCCTTCTTCTCCCTCCACCCTCCTCCTCTTTTTTCTTCTCCCCACCCTCCCCCTCTTTTTCTTCTCCCCCCCCCTTCCTCCTCTTCCTCCGCTTCTCCCCTCGCCACCCACGACCCTACCTTCTCCCCCTCTCACATGCCTTCCTCGTTACAAAGGGATACCGGGTGTAACAAAATATTAAAAAAGGATCGTAAGTGTTGGTTTGTCGAAGTCGGCCTTGACTTGGTCACGCTCCGTGATAACGCCCCCCGCCCCCTCCCCTGTCTCCCCCATGACCATTTGCTCGGACCACATTCAGCAATGCGCACTGCGTCGCCGACTTCCTACAACGGACTCGGCGCAAAACAAGCGGCGGAGCGTACTACGAGCCAGGGATACCCACGAGCCTGCTCTTCCGTGTGCCAGTTGCTGACGCGTTCATTTTCTTGCAAAATAAAAAATAGAGTTGCATCTCTCTAAACAGTGCGCATTCCCTTTCTGTATCAATGTTAGAGCAACCATATGCCATTGCACACGTGCGCTAGCAACAGGTGTCAGCTCGCATCATGGCTGTGTGGCACGCCTCGCTTCTCTCGCCAAAAGGCTTTCGGTTCCGCAAATATCTACGCGTCCAACCCGTCGAGTGTTTATCCGCGTGTTGCAAGACCTTGCCTGATTATTGATGATGCGCCTTTTGTTTACTTGTCTCCACGTGCGACCGCCCGCGTGCTGAGATTTCACCACACGCGCTGCTAACCAACACAGACTCTGACCACATCGCCTCGTCACGTCTCATCTCATTCATCTCACCTTTTCTCACAAACACGCATCTCTAATTCCAACAACACGCCTTTCTCACTGACCAAGCGCACGGAATGAGAAAGAAGAGTCACCGGATAAACACTGGAAGAATTAAGATATAAGGAATAAAAGAGAGAACTGTAGGAGGAAGGGCTGTGTGAAGAGTGAGTCGGGAGGACACAGGATGGCACACACAAGTTTCCCTCTAAAATAGAACAATGACAGTTCGCCGTCGCTTCAAAGTCATGACAGTTTTATTTTATATTTTCATATAATTTTAAGATAATTCTAGAAGGTTAGACAAGAAAAGAAGATTACGCAACGTAAAAAAAATGTGTGCATGTGAATAAATATACACACATACACACACACGTATGTATGTGTACCTGCACTTCTATGGGCACAAACACAACACTCAAATACACCTACTCGCACGCCCTCCCAGCAACATCTCATTAAAGGTTCAATAGTTCTTTAGACGAGACAGGAAGAGCGGCCGCCCGAAACGTAATTAATCCCGAGACCCGCTTCCAAGCTTGCAGCGGGCATGTCCCAACACTAGTCCTGTCGGCGGCCACGTCGCCCTCGGGACTCGCCTGCCCTGACCCTCGCCCTCACCCTCACCGCCGCCCTTTGTTTCTCTAATATTTATTCGCTTCTCGTTCAGAGAGCTTTTCAGTTTACAAATCCTGTTTTCTTTTATATCCTTTTTGATATAAAATGTATTTTAATGAATTGACATCTGTATCTATCTACATATCTATCAGTCTGAAACGCATTTTTCTTCCCTTCTCTCATCTCTCCTCTTATCGCCGTTCTTCATGGCTGTTGCTTCAGCTGCAGCCGGTCTGAAGTGGCTCATCTGCCGATTGCTTTCACTTTCAGTTTTCTGCACCTGACCTTATTTCTCAGATCGCCTGAATCGCATTTTCATCCAGAAATTCAAACCTTTTTGATCAGAAAAATGATGTTAAGACAGAACGGACTTGGGTTAGAGAAAGGGAAGGGAAAGGACGAGGTGGATT